TTTCTTTTTCTTGCCTAATGACTCTGGCTAAAATTTCCAGTACTATATTGAATAGCAATGGTGAGAGTATGCATCCCTGTATGGTACTGGATTTCAGTGGAAATTCTTCCAAGTTTTCAACATTCAGTAGGATGCTGGCCATTGGTTTGTCATAAATTGCCTTGACTGTGTTGAGTAATGTTCCTTCTATAACCTATTTGCTCTGAGTTTTCATCATGAAAGGGTGTTGTATTTCATCAAATGCTTTCTCTGCATCTATTGAGATAATCATATGGTTTTTCTTCTGCAGTTTGTTCATGTGGTGTGTCACGTTGATTGATTTGTTAATGTTGAACCATCCCTGCATACCAGGGATAAATCCCACTTGGTCTGGGTGGGTGATCTTTCTGATGTGTTGTTGGATTCTATTGGCTAGAATTTTATTGAGGATTTTTGTGTCTATGTTCATCAATAAAATTTTTCTGTAATTCTCTTTCTTTTTTGCATCTTTTTCAGGTTTAGGAATGAAGATGGTGCTGGCTTCATAGAAAGAATTTGGGAGGATTTTCTCTCTTTCAATTGCTTTGAATAGCTTGAGAAGAATTGGAGTTAGTTCTTTTTAAATGTCTGGTAGAATTCAGCAGTGAATCCATCTGGTCCTGGGCTTTTCTTTGTTTGTAGGGCCTTTTTGCTGATTCAATTTCTGTCTTGGTTATGAGTCTGTTTAGGTATTCTATGTCTTCATGGTTCAATTAGGTAGGTTGTATGTGTCCAGTTTGTATGTATCCATTTCTTCTAGGTTTCCCAGTTTGTTCACGTAAAACTCTTTGTAGTAATTTCTGATGACTCTTTTAATTTCCATGTTGTCTATTGTTACTTCCCTCTTCATCTCTAATTTTATTGATTTGGGTCTTCTCTCTGCTTTTTTTTGATTAGTTGGGAAGTGGTGTGTCAATTTTGTTTATTTTTTGAAAAAAAAAAACAGATATTCATTTTGCCTATCTTCTGTATTTTTAATTCAATTTTGTTGATTTCTTCTCTAATTTTAATTATTTCTTCTACTAGTTTTGGGGTTGGTTTTCTGTAGTTTTTCCAGATCCTTGACATGCATTGATAGCTCATTTATTTGATGCCTTTCCAATTTCTTAATGTAGTCAGCTATTGCTATAAACTTTCCTCTTAACACTGCTTTTGCTCTATCCCATAAGTTTTGATATGTTGTGTTGTTATCTTCATTTGATTCCAGAAATTTTTTATTTCTCTTTTGATTTCTTCTATGACCCATTGTTCATTCAGGAGCATGTTGTTCAGTCTCCATGTGTTTGTATATGTTCTAGAGATTCCTGAGTTGTTGATTTGCAGCTTCATTCCATTGTGGTCTGAGAAAATGCATGGTATGATTTTGATTCTTTTGAATTTGCTGAGACTTGCTTTATGGTCTAGTATGTGGTCAGTCCTACAGAAAGTTCCATGTACTGCTGAGAAGAATGTGTATTTTGCAACTATAGCATGAAAAGTTCTGTAGGTATCTGTTAGGTCCATTTGGTCTATAGTGTTGATTAAATCTGCTGTTTCCATGTTGATTTTCTGTCTGCTTGATCTGTCCATTGCTGAAAGTGGGGTATTGAGGTCCCCTAATACTGTTGTTTTGGAGTCTAAGTCTCTCTTTAAATTTCTTAACATTTCTTCTAAATAGCCAGGTGCCCTGTAATTAGGAGCATATACGTTTACAATAGTTTAGTTTTCCTGTTGAATTTGTCCCTTAATCATTATATAGTTCCCTTGAGACAGTACACTTTTCTAAAGTGATCAGAAAGAGATACATATCTGACTCATCTTTTTAAATTTTTTTCCTCCTCTAGTTTGGCTGGTCCATTTTCCCCAACAGGGCTTCAAGCCTCGTTCTCTTTAGGCTCTTCCTGCTGCTCTTTTGCCAGTGGCCTGGGCTACTACAGTTTCATCTCACCTCACTTTCCTGTACTGGTGCATAGGATCTCGGCTGCTGGAGTCCTTAACCCTGAGTGCCTAAGCCCTCCATGTAGGTCCACCATGTCCCTCTAATTTCAGTAGAGTTTCCTCTACTGTTTTTTCCCTAGCTCTTCCCTGAGACTACACTTTCTCCACTTTTTTAAAACTATATTCTCCTGAGCTACGGCAGTAAGCGCCCTCCTTATTCCACCATTTTGGAACTCTCCCCCATAAATTTCTAATACTGGTTTTATTTTTTCTGATCTCTCTCTCTCTCTCTCTCTCTTTTGGTCAGACTATGTTTCTTTGGCACCATCATGTGGTCTTCCTAATTCTTGTTTGAGTTTCTGTGTTTATTTTTAGGCATTTGAAGAGATACTTACTGATTTTTTTCCTCTGATGGCTTTTATCTATGGACTATGCCTCTGTGACTTAGTGTAATGTCTGCACTTTCAGTTAAAACTCAGAGGTGCATGCTGGATGTGGCCAGGGAGCTTTGGTTAGTGCTCCAGTAGGGGTGAGTATACAGTTGACACTCAAATTGGATGTAATAGATCTCCTCTTGTTCACAGAAGTGGGGGGTATTGTAACTACTGTTTTTGTGGTCATACCCTCACTTTCTTTCTTCCAAGGTGATCAATGCCCAGCTGTTAGCCCTCAGTGGGTGCAATACTCATTTGTGCTGCCATATGGACCATGCAAAGGGTCAGTGAAGCCCTCCCTCTGAGAATGGATCCTGCTGCAATGACTCACCCCAGGAAATCAGGGAGCTCTGAACATATTGAACCCCACACAGTGTTTGCCCAGAGACATAACTACACACTGTGCCCCCTTATGCAGTCACAGAGTTCCCACAACCTTAGCACACAAATCTCCCATAGTCATGGGGTGCAGAGGATCTATTCCATCCTGCTAGCATGTCTAGTCTACAGAGAGGTAGACATTTCCAGAGCCAGATGCCTGTGGGTGCTCTGCCCAGGCAGTTTGATCCCTGGAGACTTTGCTATGTTGAGAGTCTGGGAGCATCTCACAGTCCTGCATGGGTGCCCAGCCCCCTGTCAATTTTTCTAGTCAGACACAAAATTTGTGGCAACATAGATTTTTCCCTATGCTAGAATCTCTGGATCACACATGTACTCAAGAGCTTCTGGCCGAATATTGCCTTCTCCCAGTCAGTTGCTCCAGATCTGCTGCTGCCAGTACTGCTGAGAAGATGAGTTTTGTCTCAGCTCTGGGGTGGGCACACAAGGGCCTCCACAGCTGCTGATTATCCCCAAATTTGTGCTCGCCCTCTCTCAGCTGGTTGCCAGACACCATGAGGGGGATGGGGTAAGAGAAATGTGCCCCTTCATTTTACTGGGCCAGTGGGTACCCTGTCCCCCTTAGGGCTCCAAGCAAGACTCACACCACACCCTTCTTCCATCTATCTCACCAGTGGCATGGATTTCTGAAGTCTGATCTTACCTCAGTCTCCAAAGCTGGCACTTTCTTCAGCTCTTGGCTACTGGAGTCATGTATTGTCTGTGTTTGTACTGCACATCTTCACTTTGTACATAGACCCACAGAGTCCTCTTCCTTCCACAGAATTCCCACTGTGGTTTTCTCTGTAACTCTCTCCTGAGAATGTTCTTCACATATATATTACTAATATGTATATTACTACTTATTCCTAGCCTATTGCAGTATGCTGTTCCCTATTCTGTCATATTGAAATTTCTCTAGTTGTCTTTTATTAAACCAGACATAAAAATAAAATAACAAAACAATGACACTTTTCTCACTAATGTTTCTGTTTCTTGGACTCATAGATTATTTAAATATCATTTGATTTTTATAAATAGTGGGTCTTCTAGATATTATTATTGCTTCATAGTTTAATTCATTGTGATGAGAGGACTTATTCTAAATAATTTCAATAGTTTGAAATTTGTTGATACTTTTTAATTTATAAATTTAATTGGTTTTGGGAAATACTTTATATACACTTGAAAAGAATATCCTATTGTGATGTTCGATACATGGCAATTGGGCTACATTTGTTAATTATACCATTCTAATCTTTTATATCTGCATGAATTTTATTTCTATAAGCTTGTTCTGTCATCTTGCTGGAAAGTTATGTTCAATTCCCTCACCATGATTGTGGGTTTGTTAGTTTGTTTGTTTTTGTCAGTTATCATTATAAAATGTCTGTCATTATTAATACTTCTTGCCTTAATGCATTCATTAGTCATATTAATATGGTTACCTGACATTCATGATTAGTATTTTCATGATGTGTATTTTTCTATTATTTTATTATTAAGCATTCTTGATGCTTATTTTAAAGTGTCTTTTTTGTAAGCACCATGAATATTTTCAATTCAATAGTCTTTAATATTCTACTTGGAATACTTAGTCCATTCATGTAAATAAAATGACTGAGTAGTTTATGGATATCACAGTATTATGTTTATTTTCACATGCTATATTTTGTATTCCTATTTTATACTTCTAGTATACTTTAGATTAATTCAATTTAATGCATTCTTCTACTATTCTTTCAGTGATAATCCTCAAAACATTTTTGATTACTACAGTTAGATGAAATATATACTCTTAAAAAACTAATTTCTCGCTGGCGCCGCGGCTCACTAGGCTAATCCTCCGCCTAGCGGCGCCGGCACACCGGGTTCTAGTCCCGGTTGGGGCACCGGATTCTGTCCCGGTTGCCCCTCTTCCAGGCCAGCTCTCTGCTGTGGCCAGGGAGTGCAGTGGAGGATGGCCCAGATGCTTGGGCCCTGCACCCCATGAGAGACCAGGAAAAGCACCTGGCTCCTGGCTCCTGCCATCGGATCAGCGCGGTGCGCTGGCTGCAGCGCGCCGGTGCTGGACGCGGCAGCCATTGGAGGGTGAACCAATGGCAAAGGAAGACCTTTCTCTCTGTCTCTCTCTCTCACTGTCCACTCTGCCTGTCAAAAAAAAAAAAAAAAAAAAAAAAAGAAAACTAATTTCTTTTTTTTTTTTTTTTTTTGTAAAACACAGAGATAGGTAGACAGACAGACAGACAAGGTTCCTATTCATTGATTCACTCTCCAAATATCTGTAATTGCTGGGGCTGAACGAGGTCAAAGCTTGCAACTGGGAGCTCAGTATAGGTCTCCCATGTGGGTGGCAGAGACCCAGACTCTTGAACCATTGCCTTCTGCCTCCCAGAATCTGTATTAGTAGGAAGCTAGTACTAGTACCTGGAGCTGAAACCCAAACCCAGTTACTCTGTTTTGGAATATGGGAGTTTTAACGGGTATCTTTACTGGGAGGCTAAATGGCCGCCTGAATATACTCACTTTGTTTGAGTGCTCAGGATTCTGTTCAATTATTTTCCCTTAAGTGGTTTATTTTTCCCTGAATGAAGATATTACTAAAACTCTGTAAAATTAATGGTAAAATAAATTATCAGAAAGTCTTCATTTTGAAAAAAATTTTCAAGAAATTGAATATGTATAAGTATGTATAAGATGAAGTGAATTTCTTAAGTGTTGACATTTATCTTAAAGGATCTCTTAGATAAATCCTCCCTGTCTAAATGATATTCCTTTCCATTGCAAATAATACAGTTCAACCCATGGCACTTCAGGGGACATTATAAGTAAATTACCACTATTTTATTTCACTGTAATTTAAAAGCAGAAACCTCGTTTTGGGGGTGTTTGAGTATCTGCAGTGAGGCAGGAGCCCATGGGAGCAGGATTCCCAAACCAACTCTTTGTGCAGACACAGGAGAATGCCATCTTTATAAAGCCATCAAGGGGCCAAAGCTGTATGTACAGTGTCAGTGAGAAGCTGAGGAGTCACACATCATCTGACATGGTCATTGCTACTAGGTGTTCAAACTGCTATTTGGAAGACTTTTTTTTCTGTAAGTATTTTGGGGAGTTGTATACTGGAAAGTCAAACATACGTGATACTTACAATTTGTTCTTTGACTTTCATTATTCATTTCAGAGAATATTATTCTCTAGGTGTTCACAGGTGAGGACCTCCTGGGTGCATGAGTATCTAGAATGTGGATCAGTGGACCTTATGGACTGTCTCTGGTAGGGAGACCAATTGGAGAGGAGGATTCCTTCTCTGATCATTAGAGGCATAATGTAGCTGTCTGCATTTGTGTCAAATATCAGAAACAACAATAAATGACATCTTGTCCCTTAACTTAATGAGCTTTGATCCATCTAAGAGAGGGGGATAAGAACTATAGGACAGGCTGAGAAATAAAACCATAAAAAAGGAATCTGTAGAATTCCCAGAGGTCCATGAGAAGAGGAGACTTCAAATTAGGAGAATGGATACTGGCCAGAGTTACTGTTAAAAGCATTAAGATAATAAAAGAAGTAAACAATTCAATAACTGAAACTGAGTAGAGGTGGGGCTAGGGCTGTTTTATCTGAAGCAATACCCTTGGATTATTTATTTATATTTGAGATGAAAAAATAGAGATGGATAGATAGATTAGATGATAAAAAGATTTCATTTGCTAATTCAGTTCTTAAATGCTCACAATAGGTGGGACTGAGCCAGGCCATAGCTGGGAGCCAGGAACTCAATTCAGTTCTCCTACATAGGTGATAAGGACCCAACTACTTGATGCACCACATACTTCCTTGGTCTTGTTCCTGTTTATCTGAACTGTACTTATAGAATGACTAGTAAGTTACCAGGTGATTAATTTCATTCCTTGTGGAAAGAGCACAGGCTTTTGGAAAACAAATAGGAAACCTCAAATATTATAGAATTGTTTATTAATGCCTTAATAGTAAAATGCTTGGAGTATTTAAGTATTATAGAGAAGTAATGGAAAAGTGAGGTGAAAAATGAGTTACAAGCAGAAACATTTTCATGAAATGTAACCACTGGAATAGATAGAATAAGACAAGCAGAAGTTAGTTACCAGAGAATAAAAACATGAATCCTCTGAGAATAATCTGACACAAGTAAAATCCCAGAAGTGAGGCAAAGCTAAGGATGTTCCACAGATGTGATTGAATCCACATGTGTGTGAGGAAGCTGTGAATTCTGTCTGGAATTGGAATTGGAAGTTGTAAATGCAAAGGAAATTGTTTTAACAAGGAGCAATGTGGTCCATTTAAATTTTAGATTATTATGTCAATATAATGGTAGATAAAATTGAAAGCTTAGAATGGAGGCAGATAAAGAAATTAAGAGGTTACTGATAGAACAACCTGAATCCATGCCTCTTTCCTTTCAGCCATTTCCAGTCCTGCTTGTCCATCATGGTATTGTCCCTGAACAACTCAGGAACCCAGGTGACTGAATTCCTGATGGTCTGCTTCCCAGGCATGCAAGATACACAGCACTGGCTTTCTATCCTCCTGGCTCCTCTCCTGATCTTGGCACTTGGGGCCAATGCTGTGCTACTATTTGCCATCTGGCATGAAGTGTCTCTACATGGGCCCATGTATTACCTGCTTGCCATCCTCTCTGTTCTGGATGTCATCCTTTGCCTCACAGTCATCCCTAAGGTCAGATTCTCCTTGGAATCCCTTTTAGGAACTCGGTCACCTTTCTCTATACAATACCTTGTTTTGCTGCTATCAGCCCTTGAAGGAACACACTTGATTTGTCACCCACACCATCATAGGAGGTCCATCACAACTCCCAGATATGTCTTAGTGCCCATGTCATCTTTTTTCACGATTCCTCAGTTGACAAGTTCCGTCTCAGTGTCTAAGGGGTGGTATTTTAACCTTTTTCTTCCAGGGAAACTCTCCTCATCTCCAAATTATCCCAAAAGTACACCCAAGGGCTCTGGAATTTATATTACTAACTATAATTGGTTACGTGCTGTGTCATATGCTAAGATAGGAAACATGGTTAGGGGGAGGATTCTTTTGTGTATTGGAGGAGTTAGAATATGTCCAAATATAAATGCAGGATTTACTGGGTGTGATGTTCCTGGATTTTGAGTAAGAACTTTGGAGCTCAAAATGCAATAGGGCTACAAAGAAACTTTTAAGATTTTTTTATTTGAAGGACACAGAGTCAGACAGATAGACAGATAGCTTCAATCTGTTGGCTCATTCTCCAAATGCCTGCAACAGTTGAGACTGGAGATGAAACCAGGAGCCAGAAACTAAGTCTGGGTCTCCCAAGCAGGTGACAGGGGCTCAAATATTTCAGCCATCATCTGATGTCTCCAAGGGTGCACATTAGCAGGAAATTTGAATTGGGAATGGAGCCAAGATTCATACTCATGCATTTAATATGGGATGTGGGCTTCCTAAGCAGTGTGTAATCATTGTGCAGAATGCCTGCCCCAAATAAACATTTTTTAAACTAAGAATTTCTACATGGATTGAAAGGGTATAATTCAGGCTCTGGTAACCAGGTTGCACATAGAAGGAAATTGTCCTGGTTGGTGTTTTGGGATTTTTATTTGGGTCCAGGGGTGGTTAAAACCATCAGAATGTTTTCCTTTGAGGTGAGTACTCTGTAATTAGACATATATACAGGAATATATACAATATATACAGAGTTTTTGAAAACAATGCCTCCAGCAGGTCCTGCTCATCTTCTGGTTCAATATGAAGCTTATAAGCTTTGCTGGATGTTTCCTGCAGATGTTCATCATGAATACCTTCCTTCCCATGGAATCTTCCACTTTTCTGGTCATGGCCTATGACCGCTATGTGGCTATTTGCCACCCTCTTCGCTACCCATCTATTGTTACTGAACAGTTTGTCATTAATGCCGCTTTCTTCATCATCTTCCGCAATCTGCTAGCCACACTGCCCACTCCAGTTCTGGCTGCTAGGCTCAATTATTGTGCCAGCAATGTGGTGGAGAACTGTATCTGTGCCAACATTTCTGTGGTGAAGCTCTCCTGTGGGAATATTCACTTAAATAAAATCTACCAGTTTGTAAGTGTTTGGTGCCTACTAGGTTCTGACCTGATGCTCATCTTGCTATCTTACTGCTTCATCCTGAGGGCTGTTATGCGTCTACAGTCAAGGGGTGCATCCACCAAGGCTTTGAGTACTTGTGGTTCCCACCTCATCCTTATACTTTTCTTTTATACACTACTGCTAGTCTTCATCTTCACAAACAAGGCAGGAAAGAAGATTCCCTCAGAGGTACCTATTCTTCTCAATGTCCTGCATCACCTCATCCCACCAGCCCTCAACCCCATCGTTTATGGAGTGCGAACCCAGGAAATCAAGCAAGGGATTATCAAGTTATTTAAAAACAAGTACTGAGAGCTATCATTCAAAGACCAGGGATTATAGATCAGATTTTATTGGTGACTCCATATGAATGGCAGAAGAATACAATATGACTTTCATGATGATACTTTTATCGTGAACGTAAACCCTCCTGAATTACTATCAAAATTCTTATCCTTACCCCTTCATTTGCAAATATGTTTTGAACCTCTCCTTAAGTATAAATTATCTTCTTAACTTTATCTCTGTTCCATCATGGTTGCTCAAGTACTTATTCATTAAATAAACATTTAACACCTTCCATGTAATTCTCAGTCTTTAAATTTTGCATGAATCTAATATTTAATTTACAATACTAAGATGGAGAAGCAGTTTAAATAGAACATGAGGGTTATGAATGGGAACAGGAAACTAATGATGATTTTCTTTAAATAATCCAGGTACAAAATGGTAGCAACTTGGATTAAGGTTTGATTGAAAATTCAGATAAAGTGTCACAGCAGTTTCAGACTCCATATAAGGTTCAAAAGATGGATAGAATTAATTAATCACCTAGGCTTTTAACAACAACGTTTGGAATAGTGAAATTGACATAATGAAGGAGTTAGTTTGGCATGAGATATCAGGAATTCAACTTTGGACACTGAACATTATTTTCATACCAAATACATCCCCATGATTGTACTTTAGAAATGACTGCTAAGTATACACATGTAGAAGTATAAGTAAACAAGTGACCATGACAGTTGTCAGAGACCAGATCCAAGATAGATATGGAAGCTTAAGTTATCAGGGTACATATGTCATTTAAATCCAACTTAGAAGTGTGATCTGAGGACCATTAAATTCTATATCTTTTTAAAGGAAGGTTTTTTCCAAATGATTCATGCTGAGAATCCACAGTTGTTTGCCACCTCCAGGGACTGTGAACTCATTAAGGTTAGAAGCTGAGTTTAATTCTTTTTACCTCTAACATTTAGCATTAAGCTTGGCACATGGTAGATGATTTGTCAATTACTTAATAAATGATTTTGCGTATCTCAAGACTTTTATTCCTATTACATGGTGTCTGAATGGGAGTCCTTATCCAAAAGATAATACTTATAATAATAATAGATAGAATTAAAAAGGTGTGAATACTCCAACATGGGAAGCAGTCCATACAGCAGACTCATAGAATGACAATCACTTTAAGTAGCACTCTGACCTCAGCATCAGCCCTTAATGCATTCTGGTCTGGCTGAAAAACCCACAAGAGCATTTCAGGCATGGAAAGCCAAGACACTGTGGCAAAAATTGTCCTACATGAAGGCCTCTGTGGGTGAAACCCCAGTGGAAAGAAGTGGTCATCAAAGATGGATGTATTTTCTCTGAAGGGAGGAGAGAACTTCACTTTGCCTATGACCTTGTCTAAATACTGATGGAGTTTGTGGATCCAAAGAGTTTCCATAGCCTAGGCAGTTCATGTAAAGAGCCTGAAGTGATCACTAACATCATACATAAGAGTGTTAATTGTTAAATTAACAGCAGGAGTCACTGTGCACTAACTTCCCATGTATGACCTCTGTACTCAAAGAATTGAATTATGAGAGTTAATAGTAAAACTTGTTCTCAAAGATTTACTTCTTTTTAGTGTATTAAGTGGAGGATAGTCTTATGCCTCAAGTTTTAGATAAGCCTAAGTGCCCAATTCTATTGCTTGATTCCTTGGGTGCTTCTTCAATTAATAATAAAACTTGTTCTCAAAGAAAAAAATATATTATAGAAAAAATTAAAAGAAAAATAAGAAAGGAAGTAGGAGGAAGTGTGGGAAGTGTGGGCATAAAGGAGGGATTGAGGATGGGGTGGGAAGTGTCATTATGTTCTTATCTGTATGTATGAGATAGATGAAATTTGTTCCATTTATATAAATAAAAAAATTTAAATTAAAAAATATGCTGATTTCTTTTGGTTTGGATTAATTCATAGGAGTGTGATGGCTGGATCATTTAGTATCATATATAGACCATATTTAGATTTCCATACTGTCTTCCTCACTGGCTGCACCAATTTACACCTCACTAACAGTGAATAGGGTACCATTTCCCCCACATCCTCGCAAGCATTTTTTCTTTGTTGATTTCTGTATGAGAGCATTCCAACTGGAGTGAGGTGAAACCTCATTGTGGTTTTGATTTGCATTTCCCTGCTGGCTAGTGATCCTGAGCATTTTTTCAACTGTCTGTTGGCCATTTGAATTTCTCTCATGAAAAAATGCCCATTCAAGTCCTCTGCCCATTTCTTTACTAGCTTGATTGTTCTGTTGTTGAGTTTCTTGAGCTCTTTATAGATTCTGTATATTAATCCTTTATCAGTTGCATAGTTTGCAAATATTTTCTCCCATTCTGTCAGTTGCTTCGTCACATTGCTGAGAATTTGTTTTGTAGTACAAAAGCTTCTCAGCTTGATGTGATCCCATCTGTCAATTTTGGTTTTAATTGCCTGTGCTTCTGGGATCTTTTCCAAGAAATTTTTGCCTATGCCAGTATCATGCAGAGTTTCCCCAAAGGTCTCTAGTAATTTGATGGTATTGGGTCATAGATTTATATCTTTGATGCATTTTGAGTGGATATTTGTGTAAAGTGTAAGATAGGGATCTTGTTTCATACTTCTTATATGGAGATCTAGTTTTCCTAGTACCATTTGTCGAAGAGACTGTTCTTACTCCAGAGATTGATTTTAGCTCCTTTGTCAAAGATTAGTTAGTTGTAGGTGTGTGGATTGATTCCTGGAGTTTCTATTCTGTTCCTTTGTTCTACATGTCTATTTTTGTGCTAGTACCAAGCTGTTTTGATGATAACTGCCCTGTAATATATCTTGAAATCTGGTATTGTGATACCTCTGGCTTTGTTTTTGTTGTATAAAATTGCTTTAGTTATTCGGGATCTCTTGTGTTTTCATATGAATTTTAGCATTACTTTTTCTAGATATGAGAAGAATGGCCTTGTTACTTTAATTGGGATTATGCTGAATCTGTAAATTGCTTTTGGTACTATGGACATTTTGATGATGTTGATTCTTCCAATCCATGAATGTGGAAGATTTTCTACTTTTTATGTCTCCTACTTCTTTCTTTAATGTTTTGTAATATTAATTATAGAGATTTTAGACATCCTTTGTTAAATTTATTCCAAGTATTTAATTTTTTGCAGCTATTGTGAATGGGATTGATCTTAAAATTTCTTTCTCATCTGTGGCATTGTCTGTGTATACAAAGGCTTTTTATTTTTGTGTGTTGATTTTATATACTGCTACTTTTCCAAACTCTTTTATGAGTTCCAAAAGTCTCCTAGTGGACTGTTTTTATTCCTCTCTATATATGATCTTGTCATCTATGAACAGGGGTAATTTGATGTCCTTCCAATTTGTATCCTTTTGATTTCTTTTTTTTCAATTGCTAATACTAATAGAATTATAATAGTAGTAACAATAAAAGTAGGCATCTTTGTCTTGTTCTGGATCTTAGTGGAAATGCTTCCAACTTTTTCCCTTTCAAAAAATGCTGGCTATGGGTTTGTCATATATTAGCTTGATTATGTTAAGGTGTATTCCTTCTATACACAATTTGTTTAAGGTTTTTTTCATGAAAAGATGCCGTATTTTATCAAATGTTTTCTCTGAATCTATTGATATTATCATATGGTTTTAATTCTTCAATTTGTTAAAAAATGTGATGGATCATGTTTATTGATTTGCACATGTTGAACCATCCCTGCAACATTGGTATAAATCCCACTTGGTTCAAGTGGTTGTTCTTTCTGATGTGTTGTTGGATTCAATTAGCTAGTATTTTGTTGAGGGTGGTTGCATCTATGTTTATCAGGGATATTGATCTATAATTTCTCTTTGTTTTATCTTTTTCTTATTTTGGACTTAACGGGTTTCTTGCCTCATAAAAGGAGTTTGGGAGGATTCCCTCTCTTTCCATTATTTTAAATAAATTGAAAAGAATGGGATTAATTCCTCTTTAAATGTTTTGCAGAATTCACCAGTGAAGTCATCCAGTCATAGGATTTTATTTGTTGGGAGGACCTTTAATACTGAGTCAGCCTGTCTTAGTTATTGGTATATTCATGTTATCCCTATCTTTGTGCCTCATTCTTTATATATTGAATGTGTCCAGTAATCAATTCATTTCTTCTAGATTTTCTGATTTGTGGAATATAGCTTTTTTAATATTTTCTGATGATTCATTTTTTTTGTTTGAGCTTTTTAAAAAATTTTTTTGGTGTCTTTAAAAGCTTTATTTTTTTATTTTTATTTTTTTAACTTTTATTTGATGAATATAAATTTCCAAAGTACAGCTTATGGATCAATGCCATGGCTGAGGAAGAACTTCTAAGATCAATCCCATTCACAATAGCTACAAAAACAATCAAATACCTTGGAATAAACTTAACCAAGGATGTTAAAGATCTCTACGATTAAAATTACAAAACCTTAAAGAAAGAAATTGAAGAGGATACCAAGAAATGGAAAAATCTTCCATGTCATGGATTGGAAGAATCAATATCATCAAAATGTCCATTCTCCCAAAAGCAATTTACAGATTCAATGTAATAACAATCAAAATACCAAAGACCTTCTTCTCAGTTCTGGAAAAAATGATGCTGAAATTCATATGGAGACACAGGAGACCTCGAATAGCTAAAACAATCTTGTATAACAAAAACAAAGCCTGAGGCATCACAATACCAGATTTCAAGACATACTACAGGGCAGTTGTAATCAAAACAGCATGGTACTGGTACAGAAACAGATGGATAGACCAATGGAACAGAATAGAAACACTAGAAAGCAATCCAAACATATACAGCCAACTTATATTTGATCAAGGATCCAAAACCAATCACTGGAGTAAGGACAGTCTATTCAATAAATGGTGCTGGGAAAATTGAATTTTCACGTGCAGAATCATGAAGCTAGACCCCTACCTTTCATCTTACACAAAAATTCACTCAACATGGATTAAAGCCTTAAATCTATGTCCTGACATCATCAAATTATTAGAGAACATAGGAAAAACCCTGCAAGATATAGGTACTGGCAAAGACTTCTTGGAAAATACCCCAGAAGCACAGGCAGTCAAAGCCAAAATTAACATTTGGGATTGCATCAAATTGAGAAGTTTCTGTACTTCAAAAGAAACAGTCAGGAGAGTGAAGAGGCAACCAACAGAATGGGAAAAAATATTTTCAAACTATGCAACAGATAAAGTGTTGATAACCAGAATCTACAAAGAAATCAAGAAACTCCACAACATCAAAACAAACAATCCACTTAAGAGATGGGCCAAGGACCTCAATAGACATTTTTCAAAAGAGGAAATCCAAATGGCCAACAGACACATGAAAAAATGTTCAAGATCACTAGCAATCCGGGAAATGCAAATTAAAAAATTTTTAATATTAATTTTAATTAGTTTTTAACAGATTCAGTGTGCTTTGTAGATATAATTCTAAGAACATAATAAGGGGCCAGCGCTGTGGTGCAGCAGGTTAATGTCCTGGCCTAAAGTGCTAGCACCCATATGGGTGCTGGTTTGAGACCAAGTTGCTCCACTTCTGATCCAGCTCTCTGCTATGGCCTGGGAAATCTGTAGAAGATGGCCCAAGTCTTTCAGACCCTGAACCCATATGGGAGACCTGGAAGAAGCTCCTGGTTCCTGGCTGCAGGAGCTTTCTCAGTTCAGGTACAGCTCTGGCTGTTGCCAATTGGGGAGTGAACCAGTGGATGGAAGATCTCTCTCTCTCTCTCTCTCTCTCTCTGCCTCTCCTCTCTCTGTGTAAATCTTTCAAATAAATAAATCCTTGAAAAAAAAAAAGAACATAATGATATTTCTTCCCTCCCTCCCAATCTCATTCCATCTCCCTTTTTTTAGTCTTTGAGATAACATATTTTAAATTTACATAACAGTAAAATGGCTTAACACTCACCAAATAAGAAGTTTAACAAGTAAAAAAGCAAAAATACCTACATTTAGTGGGAATATAGACAACATCTATAAACAATAGTTGAATAGAAAAATGATCATTTCACCTATATAAAGTAAATTTTAAAGTAATCACAGCATTAAAACTATAGTAGCATTCTTAACCATTGGTTTTACAAAGGTATAAAAAAAGATTTACAAAACTGTATTTGCAACACTAGTGATAATACAGACATTTCTTTATTTTTTCAATCTTTTTTTTTTTTGGTTTGTTTTTTGAATTTTAGATTCCACATATAAGGGAATACATGCAGTATTTGTCTTTCTGGGTCTGAGTTATTTCACTCAACATGATGCCCTCCAGTTATGTCCATTTTGCTACAAATTGTAGGATTTCATTCTTTGGATAGCTGAATAATATTCCATTATGTACATATACCACATTTTATTTCTTAAAAAAACTTTTTAAAATTTTATTTAATACAAACTTCATGCATTTAATATATACAAATTTGGGAAAATGTGGTTATTCCCCCCACCTCCCTCCTACCCTCTTCCTCCTCTTTCTCCCTTTCCAATTTTTATTTTTTACAAAGGTCAGTTTTCAGTTAATTTTATGCTCATATGATTAACCCTACACTAAGTAGAGAGTTCACTGCATAGTTGAAAAAAAAAGAAAAATAGAATAGAAACAAACAAATAAGAAATACATTGTTCCTTGATTGTTAAGTCAAGAGCTGTTCAAAATTATCACATCTCAAGGTGTCAGTTTTGATTCTATAGATTATCTTTTAGGTATGCTATTAATTACAGATCAGGGAGAAAATGC